ATTAGATGTTAACGTCTTTGACTGCAGCACTGGGTGACGCAGGTTCGAGTCTGAGAAGGAAAATGAGTTCATTCAAGTTTCCAGATACACCTTGCTGACTGATGAGTGCCAACTAACACGAAAACTACATCAAACAAGGCTTCCTGCCAAATTGCCTCCAATCTCCATCTTATGTGGATCATTCTAATTTACTTAGCTTTGGATACACTTACATTTTTCTGAAAATCTCAAAAAACCCTGTTTTCTTATTTTTCAATGTAATTTCTTGCATATATATAGCATGAGGACTACAGCAACATTTGGAATCAATCCAAAAAATACTAAATTTTCTGAAAAATACCCCTTAATTGTTTAGAATCAGTAGTCATGTAATAATCAACGAAACCTTAAAAGGAAGATGGAGACCAGTTATAAAACAGGTGAAAACATGAACTGCCGAAGCGACTATAATCACTTAACTTCTGGATCAAGTTAATTACTACTTGGGAGACAAAAAAAGTGGTACAAAACATTAGTTAGATAATTCATTTGATTAACTCTTATTTAAGTTATACTACTTTCTTTTGACTAATAGAATATAGAATAAGTAAGCTTACATGACTGTCAATTTATTTTACCATGATATTTGGCAAGTTATCTATCAGCAGACGTGTTGATACTTGAATAAATAAACAACGAAATGTTTTTTTTTCAAAAAACAAAAAAGTAAACATATTAACCTGTAAGACAACACAACTTATCAGTGGTTTACATAGAATAGATTAAAGTTTGACGTGTATGAACCTATTCAGTGTGTAATCAAGTGAAAATCGATAATGTAAACATAGAGCTTCTAGTTTTATTTAGCTTAATGGATGAACGATTATTCTTCTTATTATTATTATGGAATGAAATCAATATATTTGAAGGGTACTGTCTAGAAATTACAATTTCTGTCCGTTGGATGTTCTCCCGCCAGACAATCAGTCACTGCGGAATGCAGGTACATCCAGCTGATCACGACTTCCCAATAGGATGAAATGCGTGTTGTCCTGGATTCCACTGCTAGTCACCATCCAGCAATTAACTTCTAATTACATGCCCAGACATCGTCGAAGCATCTGCACAGGAAGCCGATATGTCAATCTGAAACCGAGCACTTTGGTCCGATCAATCGACGGGAAAATGCAAAATTGAATTAAATATTGAAATCATCACCCAGAAGAATTTCAGAAATCCTAAAGAATGTCTAATATCATCAGAAGTACTTCATATGATCAAATGGAATCCAAAGTCTTTGAATAGGAATGATGGACTAAAACAGAATTTGACGTAGTTACAATATCCCCTCCCCCATGAAGTGACAAAATCAACACGAATGTGATAAGCAATTTCATTATGTAAACACACGCTGCTTTTATAATTTTATACACTTATCAAACCCAACATCCTACACCTGGTTTTGTTATCTTTAGCACTTGGCCAATTTGACAACGAAAATTATCCCATACTGAGGAACGATGATTAAGTTAGTAAATTCTGGTTCAATAATAATTTGATAAAGCTATTAGCATCATTGAATAGCGAAGCGTCAGTAAAAATAATATCATTTTGTTTTTCATTCATTGGGAAATACAAAAAGCTTTTATTATAATGAATACCATTGTCCATTGCATCTGTCCATGGAATGTTCTCCCATATGGCGTTTTACTGGAGGTTCATGATGGCTAATATTAAAGGGCTTTGCCTAATTCACCTGTGTTCTATTCACGACCGGAAGACTATTACACCCTTATTTATTGTTCTCACACATTTACCTCTATAGATAATATGGCGTTGGCTTGTAATTATCACTTTTCTATTGTATCAGGCACGAACTAACTAACCAACTAACTAACTAACTAACTAACTAACTAACTAACTAACTAACTAACTAACTAACTAACTAACTAACTAACTAACTAACTGACTAACTAACTGACTAACTAACTAACTAACTAACTAACTAACTAACTGACTAACTAACTAACTAACTAACTGACTAACTAACTAACTAACTGACTAACTAACTAACTAACTAACTAACTGACTGACTAACTAACTAACTAACTAACTGACTAACTAACTAACTAACTGACTAACTAACTAACTAACTAACTAACTGACTAACTAACTAACTAACTAACTAACTAACTGACTAACTAACTAACTAACTAACTAACTAACTAACTAACTAACTAACTAACTAACTGACTAACTAACTAACTAACTAACTAACTAACTAACTAACTGACTAACTAACTAACTAACTAACTGACTAACTAACTAACTGACTAACTAACTAACTAACTGACTAACTAACTGACTAACTAACTGACTAACTAACTGACTAACTAACTAACTAACTAACTAACTAACTAACTGACTAACTAACTAACTAACTAACTAACTGACTAACTAACTAACTGACTAACTAACTAACTAACTAACTAACTAACTGACTAACTAACTAACTAACTAACTAACTAACTAACTAACTAACTAACTAACTGACTAACTAACTAACTAACTGACTAACTAACTGACTAACTAACTAACTGACTAACTAACTAACTAACTAACTAACTAACTGACTAACTAACTAACTAACTAACTAACTGACTAACTAACTAACTAACTAACTAACTGACTAACTAACTAACTAACTAACTAACTAACTAACTGACTAACTAACTAACTAACTAACTAACTAACTAACTAACTAACTAACTAACTAACTAACTGACTAACTACTAAAA